CCTGAAACAGAAAAATAAACTTCTTGTAGTTCCAGCTAACTTCTTCCTGAGAGTCTCTCATCTTTCTGGAATCTCGTTTTTTTTTTTTATCTGAGGAAACACACAAAACCCATGTTTCCTCATCTAGGGAGCGCGGAACAGTCAAAATGAATTGTCTGTCGTTTTCTAGATGTGGTCAAGAAGAAGCTTTTCCCTTGGGGCAGCTGCACAACGATTTAACCGTTTTGTGTTCTGTTCGTGTTTTCCCTCGTGCCTCCCGCGGTGGCTGCGGGGGGGCTCGTGGCTCGGTGCCGGGGACGCCCCGTTGGTGTCTCAGCAGCGACGGCGCTCGGCACCCACGGGAGCCCGCGGCTGCGGGAGGAGAGGCTGGGTGACTCACGGGCTCGCGCGCTGGAAGAGGCTCCTGCCCTCGTCCCCTTCCTGCCGCTTTGGCCAGGATGAGATCAGGCTGTTACACAAACCCGACCTGCGGATGTGGGGCCGATCCTCATCATCAGCGTTTTGATGTTGCCATAACTGCATTGTCATCAGCGCTGGGCTTTTTATGTACCGTCCATGGCTGTTCCAAATTGTTAGCAACAAAAATCGGACGTTGTCCAGAGGAGAGGAAAAAAAACCTACCGCTGCAGAAACTCATGGGGCAAGGTGAAAAGGATGGTTCTGTTTAACCTGCGAAAGCTCGGTGGGGAGAGGGCTCAGCTCTGCACGGGTGCTCGGAGAGGACAGCGGTCGGTTGCTCTCTGTGCCTGCCGCGAGCGGACAAGGCGTCCTTGCGTTGGTTTGAATCGAGTGAGACTTGGGTCAGATCTGTGGAACAACTTTCCAGTTATGAGAAGACTTAAGTCCTGGAACAAATTCTCCATAAAGGAGTGCCCATCTTCGCAGGTACAGGGATGTCTTTTTAAGAGCACGTCAGAACAATGTTTGGCAGGGATCCCCTAAACGTAGCTGATGAGGTGACTTGTTTGGATCTCCCCCAGCCCCCATTTTTTAATGGTAATTTTTCCGTGGATCTGTGCGGTAGGTGCACATGACCGAACACACCAGCCTGCGAATGTCTGCCACAGGCGAGCAGCCGTTTCACAGCTGAGCTTACCCGAGCTCTGTTCTGATCCACAGAGACTCTGGACGTGTCCCGTCTGTCCCTCCCTGCGGCTTTTGGCAGCAGCAGGAAGCCTGTTGAGCCTAGTCCCACGTCCTGGTTTGGTGAGATTCCTGCAAGCAAAGCTTCGTGATCCCGCTGGATCCTCAAGGGCTGCCCTTGCAGGTCACTGCGGGGCTGCGGTGTGAGAGGACGAGCGGCACAGGGGGTCAGGAAGGAGGAGCGGGATTGCAGCCTGTCAGCTTTGCCTGTATGACATTACTTGTTAGCATCAAATGCTGTAAAATTATCCCAGGCTTTGCAGAAAGGCGGTGGGCAGGCCATCACGGGGGAGTCAGTGTTTCAGTGGGTTGGGGTGGGTAGGAAAGGGATCAGAGGAGGGAGAGGAACCAAGCGGGTTGAAAGCCGAGAGCCCCTTTCCTGTCGATCCGTGTCAGCCTCGGGACGTTCCGTGTCTGCGGAGCTGGCCGGGTGCGCGGGGGGTCTGGGATGAGCTCCTGCCGCCCCGTGGAAGCGGGATTTATGTGGGTGCTGCGAGACCTGCGGCAGTTTAGCCATGACCTGCCGCAGCCCAGCCGTCCCCGGGAGGATCTGGGTGCAGGAGCAGTGCTGCTCGTACCGTGGGCATTTGCTCTTTGTTCTCACTGCTTCTTTTGTGAACAACTGTGGCACCAGTGTTTGCAAGATCCTGGTGAGGGGCTGCACACGCCTGCTGCATCCTGTTGCAGCAGAAGATGTGATTCTTTGGTTTATTTTTCTCTGTTCACCCTCTGACCTCTCACGAGGCTGGTGCTGCGCTGCAGGTAATCAGTGAGAGTCAGGACACAGCTGATGAGAGGGGAAACATGACCAAAAAGCATTTGGAGACCCAAATAATGTTCCCAGTGGGCACAGAGCGATCTCTGGTTGGTCCTGAGAATGGGCTGGAGGGCTCTGGTGCGCATCCCACTCCCCGTGGACCTGCGCTGCCGTGGGCGGTGGGCGCAGGTCCAATCCTGCTCTGTGCCATCCGAGTCGTGGAGCTGGAGCAGGACCTGCAGGATCCATCTCTTCAAGGCGTTTATGTCAGTAGAGAAGCACGCTCATCAGACATGCGCCTTCGTTAGTTCCCGAAACGTTAACCAAGATCGTGGTCTGCTGAAGCGGAAACGTGCCAAAATGACGGCGTTGTTCCCAAGAAGAGGAGCTGCCGGGCGAGCGCGGTGGCAGAGGCAGAGCTCTCCGCCGCGGCAGTCCCGGGGCTGGAAGGAGCCCTGCGGTCCCGCAAGTTGTTCCAGGTGGTTGGCCGGGTGTGCGGAAGGGAGTCGGCGCTGCCGACACCGGCGGGACGGCCCGGGTTGCTCCGTGGGGGGTCCTGCTCGGCGGTGATTAACAGCGACAGCAATGCGCGATAAGCACCGGGCCGTCGGGTTAAGCCGTGGAGCCGCGAGGTGTGGGACGCTGGATCTTCAGCAGAGATGGGCGGTTCACGGTGAAATTGCATCCAAATTGAGTCACAGCCACGAGGAGAAGAATAAACCTGTACTTAAAGCATATTTCTTGCAGCGAGCCCTCTTCCCACACAGGTTTGGCAGCGTGGAGCCGGGCACCTTCCCGCCCCTGAGTCACGTCCCTTGCGCTGCCCCTGCATCCCTGTGACGTGATGTCGATGGAGAGCTCTTGGAGTGGGAACTTTGCCTTTTCAGTGTTCGTGTCGAGAGGCACACGCTTGCTTAGAATTGTGAAAATAATGCTGAGCTCAGACCAATTAATTTCACTTGCCCCACAGTTGCAGATTTAAACTTTGTCTTTTGATCCAGCAAGTCCAACCCATTCTTGCCTGGTCCTGGTGTGTCCTGGCCTTAAGATCTCCTCTAATACTGATTGCACTTTGGTTTGTGTATAATTCAGGAAGAAATAATTAAATAGGGAAGGAAAAAATTACAAAATATGACCATGACTAGAACTCCTATGTGCCTTGAGAATAACTTAATTTAAATGGGTTAGCACTCACATAATTAAAGGCACTACTTAATCTGTTATCTCAAACATATTAAATAAGTCTTTACCCCGAAATCAGATGCAGGGAAAAGGGAAGTAAATGTGGCAGTGCATTTAATTTTTCATTTACTCTTAACGTGGGTCTCTGGTGAAGGCTGGCAGTTTGGACCTGTGGTTTGAAGGCAGATTCCCGTGCTCTGCTTGCCTCGGGTGAGCTCTTGTCCTTGAAATCCCAAGACTTTTCCCTCCAGAGAGCTCCATTCCATCGGAGTGCTGTCTCATCGGAGCAGACCCTTCCGCTGGATTCGCAGTGGGGGGAGCAGCCTGAGCCCCAGCCCCGACTGCTGGGGGTGAACGGTTCCTCTGCTTACGGTTCTCCAGGGACTGTGGGCACTCAGCATGGTACGAGGCTGCTCAGCCTTGTCCTTGGGCTGGGGAGTCTCAGCTGTGGGCAAAATAGTCCTGACTCAAGGGAAATTTTAATGAATTTAATCTGTTGCCAGCTAACACAAACTTCTACTGACTGATTAGAGACAGCTGATGCGCCCAGCGGCTGGAGCTCAGGGCAGCCCGTGGCCTCCTCCTGCACAGGCACTGCTGCCTAAACCAGGCAATTTGTGCCCAAATTGTGCTCAGGTGTGAGCAGGCAGGGTGCTCGTGCCTGCACTAGTGGGGTGCTGATGCTGCCTACAAATACCAGGTGCCCCTCCACGTCCCTGTGCTGTGCTGTTTAGGAACTAATTTGGCATTTGTGCGTGTGATAACTGCGCGCTCCTGCATGATCTCATTTGGTGCTCATGCATGCAGTTATTGAATGCTCGTGTGTAAGTTAATTGGGCACCTGTGTGTGGACACTAAACCCTGAAATTTATGCTCAAGAGTTCCCAGAAAGCTGCTCTGAGGGCGCCGTGATGGAGACTGTGGTTGGGGCTGGATGAAGGATCGTGCTGAGCTCTGCCAAGTCCGTGTGGGGCCACCCTGCAGTAACGGGGGGTTTGGGGAGGCCACAGAGGAGAAGGACCCTGTGAGTCTGGGGGACAACATTAATGTGCTGAGGGACTTTGAGCTCGCTCATTTGGATGCCAAAACCTGGTGATTTGCATTAGTGGCATGGAAAGAGCTGGAGCACACTGCTCGTGAACGGAACAAGCAAATGAAATACTGGATGTAGAGACAGGTATTCAAATGAAGCCTTGAATATTGCAAAATGAAGCCTTGAATATCTGCAAAAATCTGCAAATAATGTCTCGCATGCACAGCAGTAGCCTTGGGAACGACGGGAGGTTTGCACGTGGAAGGAGGGAGCTCCCGGCGCTGCTGCCTGGGTGGGTGCTCGTCCCCTGAGCCCGTTCTGGCTGTGCCCGCGGGCAGAGCCCAGCGCCGGGGCAGTGCAGGCGGCCGCTGGGGCTGAGAAAGCCCGCGCACACTTCCCCAGGCAACTTTCTGGCTGCTGCTGCCTGCCAGGAGATGCCCCGTCTCGGTCAAGAGTTCTCATCTTTAAACCTGCACCAGGTTTTTGCAGGTAAGCTCTTCCCACCGTTCTGTCCCTCACAGCTCTGACGCAGCAGTGACATGAAGAAAAGGCACCGGTGGTGCTGCAGTACGAGGAAAGGTTTGTCTGGCGGGAGACGTTTATTCCTGCTGGGTTTTAAATACAGCGGTTCACCAAAGGACGAGACCTGCGCAGCGAGCGCTGTGCTCCCGTGGATGGTGGCAGGCGGTGCCGTTCGGGACGGGAAGGGTCCCGGGCCCCGGGGTGGGGACCTGCCCGAAGGGACCGGCCGGAACGGGGCCGGCCGGGGGCACGCGTGGGCAGCCCAGCCTTTTCCCACCCGGCATCGCGGGGAGGCTCCGGCAGCGTCCCGCGTGCTGGGGCTGGGGGAGGCCGGTTTGTTGCTGGGCGGCGGTGGTGGAGGGGTCGGTCCCAGCCCCCAGAAAGGCGCTGGGGATCCCTGTCAAGAGCAGTGGTGAAGAATCCACCTCGCTGCAGCTGCGGTTTCCCGTTCCCTCCTCCCAGTCCCCGTGCTGTCCCCGCCAGCCGACTCTGGATCCTGCTCCTGCCTCAATTGTGGGTGGAGAAAGGCAGCTGGAACGGCTCTTTAGAAAAGAGAATTACAGTAAAACGTGGGAGGTTCCTCCAAGTCACCTGTGAGCTGCTTCCTCCCATTTCCAGACCAGGGCTGCCTGGGAGGAACTTTAAATTGCCGCCCGGCTCAGCCCCGGCCACTGGCTCCGGCAGCATGAAGGCGAGAGGCTTCGTCTTGCTGGGGCTCCTCGCCCTGTGGGCAGAGCTGCAGGCAGCGCCCGCTGCAGGCAAGTACCGGCGTGCTGGAAACACCCCGCCTTGCTAGATTTTAAGAATATTTTCCGTATTTTCATAGAATCGTAGAATGGTTTGGGTCGGAAGGGATCTTTAAAGGTCACCTAGTCCAGCGCGCCTGCAATGAGCAGGGACGTCTTCAGCTAAATCAGCGCTGATGATGATGTTCAGGGATGTGTGTTTAAACGTCTGTCTTGATCCGTGTGTTTATGAAAGATTCTGTGAAGAGTTGTGACCCTTGTGAGGTTTTATCTTTGCTTAAATTTTATCATCTTTGAGTTTGGCAACACTGCTGCCGGGGACGGAGGCGGCGGTGGTACCAGCACGCGGCCGTAGGGATGCTCGGGAGGTTCGTCAGTCGGGCCAGTGGCCAGGGCAGGGGTGGGTGGAAACGCCAGCCTGGCCAGAGCCGCAGGGTGCTGGGGGTGGGACCGAGGGGGCTGGACTGGACCCAGACTGGGCTGCCCGGGGCGGGCTGGGCTGGGCCCTCCTGGCTGGGCAGAGCAGCTCCCATCCATGGGGCTGGGACCCTCCCTGGGGCGAGTGGGGACCCCCGCCCCCCCTCGAGCCGAAATGAGACTGTGCAGGTTTGAGAGCCAAGCCCCGGCAGGCTGAGCTCTGCCGCCCACCCGCTGCCCCCTCGGACCAGCCCACGGCACCTCCCTCGCCCGGGCTGGCAGCTGCCCCCGCGCTTTGCTTTGGGGCAGGTTCAGGGCATCTCCCCCCCCTCCAAGCCCTCTGAAAGCACCAGCCCTGCCGGCGGGGAGCTGCTCCAGGAGAAGGGAAATTCTCAAAAAAGAATATTTTGCCTGCTCGTATTTTTTTTCTCAGGAAAAATGGCCAATTTTCATAGAAGAAAAAATGGTATTTCTTCTGAATGTGCCATGGAGCGATTTTGAGATTGTTTACAATTTTACTGCACTCCTTCCCGAATGCTCCTGCACGTGTTGCCAGCCAGGCTGCTTTATTCTAAAGCTCAAACCCCGAGGCAGCAGCGGCTCCCGCGCGTTGGGGGCCAGGTTTGCTGTTGCTCTGTAACAAGACGCTGGGGCCGTTGTACGATGATGAAAACGTGTCGGCAGAAATGCCATCGCTTTCCAGATGCTCTTCTCTAGAAACTTGAGTTTCTTTTCTCAGTTTTCAGGCTGGTTTTAAGCCTTTTAGCCAGCAAGGCGGCGGTGCTGGTGCTCCCGCTGCTGACGTCTCACTCCCTGTGTGGGGTCGATGTCGAGGGGCCAGCGCTGCCCGTGGGGAGCCCTGCCCTGCGCCGCTCTGCTGCTGCTGCGCGGGAGAGCGCGCAGAATGACTTCCTAAACACGCTCAGCAATATTCTCGTGCCCTGGTTAAACAGCACTTGCTGTATTTGTATTTGTTTTGCTAAGAAGTTGCTGCACTCATGCAGACACACACACATTTTCTTGCTTTTCCTCTCCAAGGTCTGGCCCAGCTCTTCGAGCTCTGCACCCGCAGCCAGCGCGGTGGCTGGCTGCTGGCGGGCGGGATTTGGGGTGCCGCTTTGGGGGTGCTGGCTGCTGCCAGCGGTGCTGCCGTCGAGGGTTGGGGAAGATGAGGTGGGGGATGAGCCTGGGGGATACGGGGGTCGGGGTGGGCTGCGGCGTGGTGCCGTCTCTCCCGGAGCTGCGGGCGGGTGCTGGCCCCCCCCCCCCCAACTGCCGAGCCCGGGAGGCACTGGGGTGTCCCTGGGGGGCTGCGTCGCCCTGGCTGAGCGGGCAGTAGCGGGCAGGCAGAGCCCTCAAAACCCACCAGGAAAAGCCGCAGGGGAGAGGGCAGCGGCAAACCCGGCTGCTGCGAACGCGGGGAGCGTCCTGCCCTCCGTGCCGGGGCTCGGCGTCGAAGTGCCGACCCTGAGACCCCCGAGTCACCCAGGGGCAGATCCCGGGGGGCTTTACCCGTCTGGGAGCCCTGCGCGGAGATGCAGGGTGCTGGTGGGTGGGAGCTGTGGGTGGGAGGGCGGCGCACCGGGCGCTGATGCTGCTGCTTTCTGCTCCCTTCCAGGGCTCCCCGGAGCAGCCCCTGCCAGGCGGCCGCAGCCAGGGCAGCCCGGCATCGCCCCCCCGGGGAAGAGCCCTTCTCCTGGGGCACAGCCCTGCACCCTGCTCTGCCCGCAGCCCGGGGGGGCCACCCTGGCTGGGAAGCAGCAGTCGGGTGCGGAGCGGGTGGGTGAGGACCAGCGCCTGCCCGGGGCTGAGCCGGTGGCTGCTGCAACGCCCGCACCGGGGAAGAAGCTGGTGACTGGGAGGAAGCCTGCGGCGGGGAGCAAACCCACACTGGCTGGGAAGCCGGACACTGGGAAGAAGCCCAGTTCAGGGAAAAAGCCAGCATGTGGGGGGAAGACTGAAACTCTGGAAAAGCCAGAAGCTGTAACAAAGCCGGAGGCTGGAGTGAAGCCGGGGACTGGAGGGAAGCTGGAGGCTGGGGAGAAACCTGTGCTGGGGGAGAAGCCAGAGACTGGGGGGAAACTGGAGAGTGAGGGGAAGCCTGAGGAGGGAGAGAAGCCTGAGTCTGGCCAGGGGGACAGTGGGGAGGATGATGACCGTGACGATGATGATGATGATGACGACGACGATGATGATAAAAATGAGCATGGTGATGGTGATGACGATGATGATGACGATGATGGTGGTGATGACGATGATGATGGCGACGATGACGGTGACGACAATGGTGATGATGATGGTGGTGATGGTGATGACGACGACGATGATGATGATGACGACAGCGACTATGGAGATGATGACGACGATGGTGACGATGATGATGATGATGACAGTGATGACGATGGTGGTGGTGACGGCGATGATGCTTGGTGACCGATGCCACAGGGGGTGTGAGGAGCGTGTGGGGCGAGGCGAGCCCCCAGTGGGTGGGCGCAGGGGCCGCTGCCCCCTGTCTCCTCCTCTGCCTCACTCTGCCAGGGCCAGGCTCAGGCACGCTTTGGGCAGGACCTTTTCTTTCCTAATAAACCCCACTCTGGGCCACTGGCTTGGCGTGACAAGCTGTCCCTGGCTGCTGCCTGGCGTGGACAGGCCATCGTGGCTGCCCCAGCCCGGGGCATGGGGGGGCTCCCACACCCACTTCTGCCTGGTGTGGGCTTGGCAGGACCCTTTGCCCAGCGACGTGGCTCTGTCCCCCGTGGGAGAGCCACAGGGACATCCCCAGCCAGGTGCCCGCCCAGGACCAGCAGAGCATCACTGGGCCAGGAGAAACCTCCCTGTGGGGTCTGCCCCCCCCCCAGCTCCCTGGGGCTCCTGGGGCAAGCTGCTCCCTGCCCACGGCCCCCCAGCACCCTCTGGGCACGGGCACACACAGCTCCCGGTTTTGTGCAGGTGGGGGACTGGGGAGCTGGGAGCTTGTGTCCTCCTTGGAGCCTCACCCGTGCCGTGCCGTGCCAGCAGCGGGGCCAGGAGCAGGGGGATGGCTGCCTGTGCAGGATGCGAGGGGCACCCCTGGCTGAGCCCCAACACCCGCTGCGGGGCTGCAGCGAGGCGAGGCCGGGGCTGGCTGAGCTGCCAAGGCCGTGGGGCAAGCCCAGCTCCTCTCTGGGCTCCCACTGGGGTCCCGCCGGGCGGCTGCTCCCGGGGTCTCTGGGAATGGGAACAAGCCCAGTCCCGGCAGGGATGGACAGGCCTGTGGAGTTTGGGTAGGACTCACGTGCGAGTCCCCAGGGACCCATGGTGGCACAGCCCCTGCACAGGACCCTGCCCCTCCCGCAGGGCTGAGGGTCCCATGGAGGGCAGCGGGGGCTCGCCAGGAGCCAGACACAGCAGGAGCCAGCCAGTGCTCACCGCAGACTGGGTTTACTGGGGGGTGGGGAAGGGCACAGAGACCCCCGTGCTCAGCACAGAGCTGAGGGTGAAGGCGGGGAGGTGGGATCGGAGGGGATGGGCGCCTATCCAGCAGCTGATGGATCCCTCCATGGCTGGCTGTCCGGCTGTCTGGCTGTCCAGCTGTCTGGTGTGGGGTGGCTGCACACGCTGGGTCCTTGGTGCGGGTCCAGGTGGGATTTAGGTGAATCCTGGGGAGAGACGGGAGAACCCATGCCACAAGTCCTTCCTGCGGAGCACGCCGGGGTGCAGTGTCCTGGGGCAGGGGCACCCATCCCAGGGGGGCTGTTTTAGTGTGGGGGGGTTGCTGGTCACTTCCGCAACGTGCAAGGACGTGCAGGGAGATGGCACCGCTCCGCGGGGTGCTGCACCCCGGCCACGGCCGTGCTCGTGCCTGTACCTGCGGCTGCGCGTCCTCCCACAGCGCCGTCCTGCTGGCTCCCTGCGCCCACCCTGCGCCCACCCAGTGCCCACCCTGCACCCACCCTGCACCCACCCCGCTCCCACCTGCGGACGCCAGCCGGGCCCAGAGGCAGCAGAGCCCCAGGAGCAGGAGCAGCGACAGCAGCCTCATGGCGCGGGGTGGGGGGCAGCACGGGGGCTGCCTGTCCGGGCACAGCCGGGGCTTTAAATCCTCCCGAGGCTGGAGGTTGGGCCCAGTGACCTGGTCTGTGCCCCGCACGCTCCGTCCGAGCGTGACACCCCCGTCCCCTCCCTCCTGCGGGCAGCTGCTGCTGCTGGACAAGCCATGCAGGGAGGCACGAAGGTGCCGCTGCTCCGCGCTGGGCTCTATGCAGCCCTGGGAAAGCCGTGCCGTGCCGTGCCGTGCCGTGCCATGACACAAGGCAAGAGCAGCCGGCGCAGCTTCCTGCGGTGGGGGACCGGGACAGGCCAGGCAGCAGCAAGGGGCCCAGGACCCCCGTGTGGGGCTGGCCCTGCCGAGGCAGCGGAGGTGGCTCCTTGGCTGGGCACTGTGGAGCAGCCCGTGGTGCCCTGGCAGCTCTCCGGGCATTGTTCTGCCTCCAGGAACAATCGCTGGCTCCCGAGGGACATCCTGTGACCGGACACGGTCCACAGCCCCACGCTGCCACCAGCCCCTCAGCCCCGCACCCCCCGGCCAGCCGGTGCCCACCCAGCCCCACGCCTTGGGGCGGCAGCGGGGACCAGGACTGGCCGGGGGGCACAGGACCCCGGTGCTGGGGGCAGGGAGCCGGAGGCTGTGTGGGGGCTCTGCCCGAGCACTGGGACTGTGGGGCTGTAGCGCTGGCTCCCGCGTCCTTGCTGGAGCCGGAGTGGGTGTCCCGGTCCCCACCACGCGGTGCCGGTGCCGGAGCTGCCTCTCACCTCCCGCTCCCTTCCCTGGGGCTGGCGGGACCGGCCACCCTGTCCCCTGTGGCCACCCGCTGCCGGGGGCTCCGGGCACAGGCACGGAGCTGCACCAGCACCTGGGGTCTGGCTGTGTCCCCCCTCCACGGCTCAGCCACAGCAATCGCTCAGTCCCTGGCTCTCCCAGGGGCCCCGAAGCCACCCCCAACACCCCGCTGAGTGTGTGTGGGGGTCTGCAAGCGTGGCGGCTGGGCTGTCCCGGGACCTGCTGCCTGTCCTCGGGGCCGCGTGGGGCTGCGGGCGGCTCTGCTGGTGCGGCACAAGGATGGAGGCACCGGAGCTGTCGGGGCTTCCCCTGCCAGATTCCTTCCGGGAGCGCCCATCCCCTCTGGCAGCCCCTGCGTGTGCGTGCGTGGGTGTGCGCACAATCCACGCTGCACGTGCCATCGAAACTGCGTGTGGCCCTGCGCGCCTGTCGGCAGCCCAGGCTGCCCCCATCCCTGTCCCCCTCCCTGTCCCCGTCCCCATCTCCGTCCCTGTACCTGTCCCTGTCCCTGGGTGGGCAGCAGGGACAGTGCCTGGCTTGTCTCAGCCCTGGGCAGCATTGGTCCCGACAGGCCAGTGGGCTCAATGTGGGGCCAGCCGGGATGTGCCGTGGCCAGGGTGGGGGGCCCGCTCTGCCCCTCGGCTCCCCCAGCGCCTCTCCTGCCGCACAGCCCGGTCTGGGCAGGAGCATGGTGCTGGTGGCACAGCACCGTCTCCGTCCCCGTCCCCGCTGGGTGCCCGCCCTGGGAGGTGCCACATTCCTGGGTGCTCCCTGGGCCGGGCGGCCCCGGTCGCTATTTCCGCCGCGGTGGAGGTCTGGCTGCGCCCATTACTCACCCTGCACGTCCCCGGCCGCGTGAGCTGGTCAGGGTGACCAGGCAGGGCTGGGGTCACCCGCACGGGTCCCCCGAGGGTCATGGTTTTCTGTTGTGTGCAACCCCAATACCTATCTGGAAGCAGCCCCTCCCCAGCCCCCTGCAGTGCCCTGAGCCCCAGCAGCCCTGGGACCAGCGTCCACAGCAGCATCCCCTGGCTTGGCCACGGTGTTATGGCCGGGACAGGGGCTGCTCTGGAAGACGGTGGCGGTTGTTACAGCCATCGCCCGGGCGGCTGAGATACCGTGGGGAGATAGCGGGAAAAATGTAGCCCCGGTGGATTTTGACACGGTGGCCCTGCCCGCCTGGGGGTGTGGGGCTGGGAGTTTCGGTGCCACCGGGAATGTCCTGGACAGCTCGAGGCTGTGGGAGACGTGCTGAGGGTCCCCTTCCCACCGCCCGCCCTGACCCCTCGCCCCCCCGATCGCTGCCGGCACATCCCTCCGGCTTTGCTCCCACCCCACTCGGGCTCTTCCACGCCGCCGGCTCCTGTGCTGGGGATGCTGCTGGGGGTCTCTGTGCTGGGGCTTCAGAGGAGAGGCAGGAAAAAGCTGCGGTGGGGCGCGGGTGGGTCGTGGCACCTCCTTCCAAACCCCACCCCGGGCCCGACTTTCCTGGCCTCTCCCCACGGAGCTTTCCTCACCCTTTGCTTCCCCCTTGGGATAGTAATTACAGCAGTAATTAGGAAGACAATTATTCCTGCTGAATGGGAACAGCTTAATCTGTTTCTCCCTCCTTTTGGCAGGTTTCACCCCACGCCCGCCCACGGGTGCTGGCGGGGTGCTGGGGACCTGCCTGCCGCCCAGCCCAGCGCCCAGAGCCCTGCGCTGCCGTGGGTCCGGACCCCGGGCGGGAAGCCAGGCGGGCTGGGATCCGTGTCCCGTCCTGGGGGAGGCCCCTCACGCCGGACCCCGACCTGCTGCTGGAAGCATGGGGGGCAGGGTGTGGGGGGCAGGCGAAGGGGGTGGCCCCAAACTGGGAGAGGGTGATGAGGTGGGTCGATGGTGCCTGCAGGGTGGGTACGGCCGGGAGCATCACCGTCCTGCGGGACCTCCCTTCCACGGCAGCGGTGACCGGCAGGCGAGGTGGTACCCACGCGCTCGGCCCCGTGTGTGGGACCATCCCACCCGGGACGCTCTCCGTCAACCGGGGGGTGAGCGGGGGAGAAGGGGCACATCCCTTGCACAGCTCTGGCACAGCCCTTCCCCGAGGACCCGCGCGGCAGGGAGAGCGGTGCCGCGGTGCGCGGTGCCCCGGCCGCCGGCTGTGCCAGAGCTGGCGGCTTTCCACGGGCTGGCACAGCCCTGCCGTGCTCGCTGGCAGCGGGGAGGCTGCCACCCACCCCCCCCTGCCCGTCCCCACCACCGGCTCGTTCCCGAGGGGCTGCGGGCGGGCGCCGGCGGTGCCCCCAGCCCGGCCTGGGCACGTTGCTGCTGCCCGGCCGGGCTCCCCGAGGGCTGTGCCGGTGCAGCCGTCCCGTCCTACCGGTCCCCCCGGCTCGAGGGCTGTGGCCGGGGTGCTGCTGGGGAGGCTGGGCCCTGCCTGGGTGCGGCTTGTTACCCACATGGCAGGAATTAGCCAGGCTGGGGCACCAGCCCCGCTCCCTCCGCCCCACCGCCGCACCTTAAATCCCAGCCCGCCGCACCCAGGGCCCAGACCCGGCTGCCCAGGGCACCATGGAGCTGCCGCCCGGCCGCCTCCTCCTCCTCCTCCTCCTCCTCGCCGCCCTGCTCCCCCTCGCCGCACGGTCCAGCCCGGCCCTGCACACGGGTGAGTGCGCCCAGGGCAGGTCCTGGGGTCAGGGATGCTCCGGCTGCCGCCCGGTACTCCCCGCCGCTCCGCGTGGAGCCGGGCGTCCGCAGGGGCACGGGGCTGTGGGAGATCGGGACCCGGCCCTGGGGGGGCTGCTCGGCCCCTCGCTCCACAGCCCTCCCCAGCGTCCCGGCCGCTGTGTCCCGCAGTGAAGCCCGGGTACTGCTACCACAACCCGGAGGTGGAGGACCCGCTGGACGAGGACTGCGGCGCCTGCCGCAGCGACTCCTCCTGCTCCCGCTGCACCGGCGATGCCGGCTGCCCCGGTGCCACCAAGTGCTGCCCCAGCAAGTGCGGCTACACGTGCCAGGAGCCGGTGCTGGGTGAGGGCTCGGTGCCACGGCAGTGGGGCTCTGGAGCGGCGGCGTGGCGAGCGCAGGGGCGGGTGACAGGAGGGGTGCGCTAAGCAAACCGGGAAGGGGGGTCCTTGGGGTGCCCCTCAGCTCCTGCTGGGTGCTGCAGACCCCGGCGGGGCACGGCACTGTGCGGTGGGGGAGCACCCGGCCTGCTGGTGCGTGGGGCTGTGGGGCGGGTGGGCGCAGAGCTGGCTGCTGGGGGAAGGGATCGGCGGGCAGAGGGGACCGGAGCTGCTCAGGCTTCTCCGAGGGCCCCGGCAGCGCCGAGCCCGGCGGCGTCCCCGTCCTGTCCCCGGCTCAGCCCGTCCCCCTCGGACCACGCAGACTTCTGCTACCTGCCCTCCGTCTGCGGGAGCTGCAAGGCGCTCTTCCGCCGCTTCTTCTTCAACGCCTCCAGCCAGCAGTGCGAGGAGTTCATCTACGGCGGCTGCGGCGGCAACAGGAACAACTTCGAGACCGAGGGCGAGTGCTTCCAGGCCTGCTCCCACGTCGGTAACTAGCCGTGTGCCGCGGCGTGCCACAGCCGGCGGTGCCCCTGCCCCCGGCCATGCCCGCCCCGGCCCCGCTCCTGACCCCCCGTCTCTCAGTTCCAGGTGCCCGGTAGTGCCGGCCCGGGGGGAGCGGCTGCCGGCGGCCCCGTCCCTGCCCCGCAGGGACCCGATCCCGCGGGGCTGGCGGCGATGGGTGCTGCTGCCCGGGGTGGCCGCGCCGGGGGCTGTGGCTCCCCCGGGGATGCTCGCCGGCCCGAGGGCACAGAGGCGAGCCCGCCGTGGCACAGCCGCCCCTCCTGCGCTGGGGTGCCCGGCTGGAGGAGCCCGGCCCCCCCCGGGCTGTGACACTTCAATACAAGGACGGGTCCTTGGATGAGCGCGTCTGGGTCTGGTCCTTCCTGCCCGGGCGGGCAGGAGCGGGCAGTGCCCGTGCCCCGGGGTGCCCTCAGCAGCACGGCACAGCGGCCCCAGGGCTGGCCTGGCCACCCCCCTGCAGCTCCCGCTGCCTCTGGATGGGCTCCCAGCCCCGGTTCTGCCCTCGAGCCACCGACGTGACCTGGCTGGGAGCTAAAGCGACCTAAGGGAGGAGGAACGGCCCCCACTGCGATGGATGCCCGGGGTGCTGCTTGTCCCGCAGCCTGCCCCAGACCCGGGGCTGTGCCTGCACCGCTTCCCGGCCCCACAGCACCGACCCCGGCGGTGGCCGAGCCCCCTGGCCCCAGCCCTGCGTGACCGTCTCTTCCCCAGCGAGCCCCAGGCGATGCCGGGGCTGATCCAGGAGCACGAGGGGATGTCCCAGGGCCTGGTGGGGCCAGCCCGGCGCTGCCAGATGTGGGGCCACACGTGGGCTTTATTGCTGGGGGTGGTGGGGAGGGGACAGGCCAGCGGGGGCCTGTGACTGCCCCGCATCCCTGAACGAAGGCATCTCCCTGCCGTGGAGGAGCTGCTCTTCCGTCACGCGGTGTCTGAAAAGGAGGACGTGCTTTTAGGGAGCCCCGAGGCTGCGGGGCTGAGGGACTGGCTGCCACGGTTGCAGCTGAGCATGGCCAGCTCTGGCGAGAGCTTCACCCCGCTCCGTGCCCCTTGGGGTCCCCTCGCCCCGAAAGCGCGTCTCTGCCGGGAGCGGAGCGATGGGGCGGCAGCAGGAGCCGGCCCTGCGGTGCTGCCGAGCCGGGAGCACGCTGAGGTCTGTGTCCTTCACACAGGCCTGGCTGGCACCCCGTGTGCCCCAGTGCCAGCCCCGGTGCCGGCCCCACCTCACTGGCCCTGGGCCCCCTTACCTGCAGGCACCCACGTGCAGACGTGGCCGCAGCCGTTGCTGCAGCACTTGTGGCCCCAGGGACACTCCCCGTCGAGGCTGCACATCTCCAGGCACGGCCCGCGGTCCCTGGGGACGGGGCACGCTCCCACTCTGCCTGCAAGGCAGAGCACCCCACCGTGGGGCACGCGGCTGGGGGGCACCCCACGGCTCCCGGGCAGTGCCTGGGCCCTGGCTGGCCGAACCACCTCTCACCTCTGGGGATGTCCATGCAGACGCGGCCGCAGCCGGTGCTGGTGCACCACTGTCGCTGGGGACACGGCCTCGCACCCCTCCGCGCACTGCCTGCTGGCCCTGTCCCGACTCTCTGAAAGGGCACGGTGACCTGCTGTCACCCAGCTGCCCTCGGGGGGGCTGGCAGCTGGCCCCCCCCCCCCGGGACAGGCTGCTCCTGCTCCCTCTGGGCACGGCCACACACACCCAGGAGCAGCCGGTGTTGCAGCACTTCTCTTGCCGGCAGACGCTGTCATCCAGGCACCGGGGATCCCAGCACGGCTGTGCCCCGGGGCACTCCCCGGGGTGCTCTGCGGGAGGAGGGGACCCAGGCGAGGGCAGGGGGTCCCAGCCCCACTTGTGTGCCGCTGCCCCGTGACGGTGGCCGGGCTGCCCCACTCACCTCGGGCAGGGCGGGCACAGCGCATGGTGCAGCCGGAGAGGCAGCACTTCTGCTGCCGACAGTCCCTGTCGTGGGCGCAGGAGTCCTCCCCCCAGCACGGCTCCAGTGCCTGCCGTGGCCTCACCGCCGGGCACTCGCCGGGTTTGTCTGAGGGGCGGGAGGGGGCAGCAGGGGCAGGGGGCACCCCCCCCGCACTGCAGGCACCCGCCTTCCCGGAGCCTCAGGGCACCCGACGGCAGCATCCCAGGGGGGCCGAGCGCCTGCCCTGCGGCAGCACCGCCCCACATCCCACCCCACGGGAGGTTTGCCAGTGTGCCCGGCGGCGTGCGGAACCGCCGTCCCGGTGACTGTCTCCTCAGCTTGTTTGGGGGCCGAGCACACGTGGCCACATCTGCTGACGCAGCACTTCTCAGCCCCGGGCACTGCCAGTCCCCAGCGCAGGCGGTGCCGCACGGGGCCGCGGCCATCGGCGCCTCCTCGGCCAAGGGGCAGATGCCTGGTTTCTCTGGGGAGCAGGAGGCAGTGGGGCTGGGGGCACGGGGGATGCCCGGAGCTGGGGGGTGACCCTGCCCACCACTCCCCTGCCCGGCGTGGGGCTGAGCAGCTCGCACCTTGGGACGGGGACAGGCAGGCGTAGTCGCAGCCGCGCAGGCAGCACTTCTCCCGGCCAGGGCACTCGGCGTCGTGCCGGCACCAGGCTCTGCGGTGGTAACGGGAACAGCCCGGCGTGAGCTGGGCAGAAGCCGGCCTTCCCTGCAGGGCACGGTGCGGGGTGGCTGCGGTGGCTGCACGGGGCTGGCACCAGGCCCCTGTGCCACGGGGCACGGGGCTGTGGAGAGGAGCTGCCCTCGCTCCCGTGGCTCGCCAGGTTCAGCCACCCACCGTGTCCCACCTCGGTGCTCGGTGCTGCACCACCCCACACACCGGCCGCCACAGCACGTCTCCCTGCCGCCGCGGTCTCCATCGCTCCAGCACCTCGTCCCCTCCTGCCAGGCTGGTGTGGATGAGGGGGGTCCCCTGGGATCAGATGGCTTGTGGCTGCCCGTAGGGCTGGGGATGCCAGCGGGGACCGGGACGCTTCCGTCCCCTCCATCAGTCCCAGGCTCCCACCCAGCCCCTCTCTGTGCCCTCCCCATCCCAGTGCCCACCTGGGAGCTGCGTGGTGGGTCCCCCCCAGCCCCTCTCTGCCTGTAATGCCCCTGCAGCACTGCGGCCCCGAGCACTGTGTCCCCCTGTGCACGTCTCCGGGTGATGCCAGTGCTCACCTGAAGCCACGGCCGTGCCAGCAGTGCTCACCTCCGTGGCAGCACGTCAGCAGGGACGGCGCTGGCCCCTGGCACAGCCGGGCTCACTGTGCAGTGGGGCCAGGCAGGCGAGCCCGTAGGCAAGGGGACAGCACTTGGCACTGCCAGGGCAGTTGGTGTCCTGGGCGCAGGGGTGCGGGCACGGCGGGTCGGTGTCCGGCGGGGGACTGGCGGGGCAGGCTCCGGGTTTCACTGGGGACAGTAGCGAGAGGTCAGGGACAGGCAGCAGCTCTCCGGCCAGCCCCGGCAGAGCCCACCCCAGCGATCATGGGGTGAGGGAGCCCCCGCTGTGCCAGAGCTCTGTGCCTCGGGGTGGCTGCAGCCGCACGGCATCACCCCTGGTCCCTGAGCCGCGGCCCTGCCCGCGCTGCCCGTCCTGTCCCTTCTCACCGGCCGGTGCTGCGAGCAGGCACTGGCGGCCACAGCTGCTGTTGCAGCATTTCTGCACGTTGGGGCAGTCGCTGTCACCTTGACACTGCTCCCGGCACGGTCCCGCCGGCCCCGGCTGCGCCACGGGGCACCCCCCGGGTTTGGGTTGATCTGGTGGGGCAGAGCGGACGCGAGGCTTCAGCGTCCCCAGGCAGGGGGGACCCATGGCACTGGGGAGGTGGGAGCACAGAGGGGCGAGCTGGGGCTGCCCAGCTGCCACGGTCCCGGCCCCGCAGAGGCCTTACCCGGCACTGGCTCCAGGCAGGCAGAGCCACAGCCCAGCGGGCAGCACTTCTGCGCTCCCAGGCAGTCCTCGTCCTCAAGGCAGGGGAAGGAGCAGGGGTAAAAGAGCCCCTGGGGGGCTGCTGCCGGGCAGGCACCAGGTTTCTCTGTGATGCCGTGGGGCGAGGGGCCAAGAGGTGAGGCTGCACCGGCGGCATCCCCTGGAAACCCGCCCCTGCCAGACCCCGCCACGTGTCCCGTGTCCCGGACCCCTCCACACGCCCCACGCTGTGGGCAGGAGGCTGCCAGCAGCACACGGAGAGCGGCTCCGTGGCACAAGGATGGGGACAGGGACAGGGGAGAAGGGTGCCAGCTGCCCCGGCACAGAGGTGGTGCCGGTGGCCGTGCCGCGGTGCTGTACCTTCTGCCGGGGGGGTGCAGCGGAGCTGGCAGTGCCGGGGGCAGCGCTTGTGCCAGCCGGGGCATCTGGAGTCATTGGTGCAGAGGGGGCGCAGCAGGCGCAGGCACCTCCCTGGCTTCTGGGGCTCCCCTGCGGTGGGACGGCGGCGTCGGGGCAGCGCCGGGTGGCACAGACCCTCGGAGCGGGGAGCAGGTCCCCTCTGCATGGGGCAGGGGTCCGGCACGGGGAACACAGCTGGGGGGGGGCACGGTCCTGGCAGGAGCTCAGCCTGTCGGGGCCCCGGCTCACCCCGACCCTCCCTCGCTGGCACGGCTGAACCTGGGGTGTGGGCAGCCCCGCTGCCGTGGCACGAAAGGACTGGTGGAAGTGGGGCTGGAGCCTCCTCTGGAGACGGCTCAGGGCTGTACCCCCACACCGAGACTGGCACGGCACGGCACGGCACAGAACTGTGTGTGCCCTCGCAAGGCAGCGAGTGCCACCAGAACTGCCGCTGGCCCTGCCGGGGAGAAGCCAGCACCAATCCAGCACCGGCTGGAGGTCAGGATCCATCCCTGAGCATCCTGCTGCCCCGTGCTTCCTCACTGCAAGCGGCATGCTCCTCCCCGCTGCCTCCTCCTCCTCCTCCTCCTCCTGGCACCTTGTGCTGAGCTTGGCGGCGCTGGGGGAATCGGGACAGCCCTGCCTTTGGCAC